GTGGAGTCTCCGAGGACGAACATCGCAGTGGCTGGAAACGAGTCGGCGGCGCCGGAGGTAACGAGGCGGAGGAAGAGCAAGAGGTGGAGGAGGAGGAGAGCCATGCCTCTCGCGTTGCGGCGCCAACACAAGTAGGCTTGGCTTCGCGGGAAGGTCCGGGCTGAGCTCCTGAATTCACTAGTGTATTTGAAATTTTGGTGTCTACAAAAAGGTATTTGAAAATTTTGAAACATACTCGCATGATATTTGAAAAATCAATTTTGGATATTTCAAAAAATTCTGAATTTCTTTTATGAATGTATAAACAACGTATGAGACTACAACCCCTAAAAATCAAATCTAAATTCGTAATACAAATTCAAAAACAAAAAAGACAAATCTAGCATGACTAGTGTCACAAAAAGACAAAAGCAAAATTGACACCATTCAGATCTGGATTTGTTTTTTTTTTTGGTTCTCAATGTGCATTTCGAATTAGAAGCTAAAATTTCTAGGGGTTGTAGACACATTTCTTGTGAACGTCATGATTTTTTAAAGATTTTTTTGAAACATTTGAATTTGTTTTTTTAGATCTGAATTTGATTTTTTTGTTATCATAGAGCATCTAAGGTGTGGTATCACTGGATATTCGTCTCTTGTAATATTTGCTCGAACGCCCATCTAGCAACTTGTTGTATGTGCCGTTGTGCAAGTGAGCAGATCTCTCGCGCTCCTGGGAGGTCTCGTCGCCGGGCAGAAGGAGGAGGGAGCCTGGACTGGGAGCCAGATCGGGGAAGAGCCGCTGTGTCTCCGGAAGTTATAAATTGCATCCCCTTTTGCTAGGATTTCAAACGCGAATAGCACAGGGAAATTTGGGATTTGGTTCCATAACTATGATTTATTGGGTGTAATCCTCCTCTCATGGCCGAGATTTTGTTTTTTGGGGAGTGCCCTTGGGCGCACTTTATCAACATCAAATGACAATTACATCGAAAAAAATGTCTGTGTGAGATGTGGCATGTATTATCTCTAATTGGGGATCAATTCGCCATGAATGGCTATACAAGCTCACACACACGCGCGAGATCCTGGCCGAAGCCACCAACTCCGTTCCCAATCCACACGCAACACACGCCAACGGTTATATACCAACATACACCCTTAACGGGCCCAGTTCGGGCCTGCAAGCCACCGGGGAAGCTGCCGGGCTTGAGTGGGCCGTGCGATCGGCCCACGAGTCGAATCATTGTCTTCACGCTCTCCTAGTTGCTCTGTTTCGGCCTTGGACTCGCTGACATTCCCCCCTTCTTGAGAACCGGATTGTCCCCAAGCCGGAGCCCGCGGAAACAGCTGACGAAGGGAGTCTTTGTCTTCCCAGGTAGCTGAAGACGCGTCTCCCCCGCTCCACTGGACCAGAACTTGTGCCACATATCTGTTATCTGAACGGCGGAGGCGCTCCTGCAGCACCTTGACAGGAAACTGGAGGTGAGTATCGATAGAAGGTAGTGAGTTGAGTACCTCATGGTGTGGCTACACGCAACATTTTAGTTGTGAAACATGGAAGACATGATGTATACGGCTGGCTGCTGGAAGCTGCACGCGATAAGCCACCTCTCCAATCTTATCCAGGATGAGAAATGGGACAAAGTACTTGAAGGTGAGCTTGTGATTAGCTCTGTGCGCCACAGAAGATTGCACATATGGTTGAAGTTTGAGAAATACCCGATCACGAACAACAAATGTCCTTTCAGTGCGTTTCTTGTCAGCCTGATGCTTCATTCTTTGCTGAACACGCAACAAATGTTGGCGCACTGACTGCTGAACAACTGCCCGAGCATCTAACCATTGCTGCAAATCAACATGGTCAATGTAATCTGAAGCAGAAATTCCAAATTGCCGAGGGCCATGGCCATAAAGAACTTCAAATGGAGATTTGTTAAGTGCTGAATACCAGTTTGTGTTGTACCAAAACTCACAAAGTGAGAGCCATTTTGCCCATTTCTTCGGATGAGCACTGATGAAACACCTCAAAAAACACTCCACCTGCTGATTAACACGTCCAGTCTGTCCATCTGTTTCAGGATGGTATGTCGTGCTCATATTAAGTACAACTCCCGTCCTCTTCACTAGAGCTTGCCAAAATTTGCTTGTGAACACTAGATCCCTGTCAGATACAATATAAAGGGGCATGCCATGAAGCTTGTAAATATTATCCAAGAAAAGTTCAGCAATTTTCTGGGCAGTGTATGGGTGTTTGACAGGAACAAAATGGCCATATTTTGTAAACTTGTCAATGACCACCATGATGGAGTCATACTGATTAGAAGAAGGCAGCCCTGAGATAAAATCCATTGTCACAGTTTCCCAAGCTTTTGCAGGAACAGGCAATGGTGAGAGCAACCCAAGGTAAGCCACTCTCTCTGGTTTTGCTTATTGACAAATGAGACAAGATTGCACAAACTGCTGGATCTTTTTCTTCATACCTACCCATTTAAACAATGCACAAATTCTTTTCTAGGTGACAAGAAACCCAAAATGACCACCCAGGGGAGTGTCATGGAAAGCTTGGCAAATTCTAGTGTGAAAGCCACTGTCATTGCCCACCCAAATGCAACCTTTATATCTCAGCACCCCGTGTATCAGTTGAAAATTGTGTTTGGACTTTGGTTGCACTGACAACTGCTGCAATAATTCCTGTGCTTTTGTCTCATTCTTGTAGCTTTCAACAACATCTTCCAATCAGCTAGGCCGAACCCCATAAATTGCTAACACTTGAGAATCTGATTATGGTCTCCTGGAGAGAGCGTCAGCTACAGAATTATCAATACCCTTCTTATAAACAATCTTATAATTCAGTCCCATCATCTTTGTGAGTGCTTTTTGCTGCCAGGGTGTATGCAATCTCTGCAGAAAGATTAACCAAACTATTTTATCTGTCCTGATAATGAATTCCTGGAACTGTAAGTATGGTCTCCACTGCTCAATAGCTAATAATATAGCTAGATATTCCTTCTCATAAACAGATAATCCTCTGTTCCTAGGACCTAAAGCTCTGCTAACAAAAGCAATGGGATGGTCCTGCTGCATAAGAACAGCACCAATACCAACATCACAAGCATCAGTTTCCACCACAAACTACTTAGAAAAATCAGTCACTGCTAAGACAGGAGCATGAATAAGGGATTGCTTCAGAGTTTGAAAAGACATCTCTGTAGCTGGTGTCCACACAAAGATAGCCCCCCTTTTCAACAAATCAATTAATGGTCTACTGATCATGCCATAATTCCTGATAAATTTCCTGTAGTACCCAGTTAAGCCCAGAAATCCTCTGACTTGTTTCACATCAGCAGGAACTGGCCAATGTTTGATAGTTGCAATTTTGCTGGCATCAGTAGAAACCCCTTCACTACTAATGACATGGCCCAAGTAAGCAATTTCTTGTTTAGCAAAGTCACACTCGCTCAACTTAACTCTCCAATGTTTCTCCAACAAAATTGTTAGCACCTTTTCTAGATGTATGAAATGTTCCTTTAGGGTTTTACTGAAAATGAGAATATCATCAAAGAAACATACTGCACAAGGACCTTCTCTCAAAACTGGAGCTAGGTCTGTGTTCATTGCTCCTTGGAAAGTATTAGGTGCACCTGTCAGGCCCATAGCTACCACAGTAAACTCATAGTGCCCAGTATGTGTTTGGAAGACAGTCTTAAATTCTTCTCCAGGTGCTAATCTGATCTGATGGTAGCCAGCTCTTAAGTCTAATTTGGAAAACCAACAAGCTCCAGCAAGTTCATCAAGTAATTCATCTATGACAGGAATAGGGTACTTGCTTTTTACTGTGAGAGCATTAACATGTCTGAAGTCAATGACCAACCTCCAATCTCCTTCTTCCTTTTTCTTAACCATCAGAGTAGGGGAAGAAAATGGACTGTTTCTCACCTGAATTATTCCCCTTTGTAGCATTTCCTGCACCCGCTTCTCCATTTCAACTTTCAGATGAGGAGGAATTCTGTAGGGTCTGATTGATATTGGTTGAGCACCAGGGATTAATGGTATACTGTGATCAAACTGTCTTCTGGGAGGTAGACCTGTAGGAGGAGAGAAGACCACTGCATACTTGTCCAACAGAGCCTGAATTTCAGGTAACTGTTCCTTTTGTTCAGAGATAACATTTTGGAAAATGGCCATAACTGTAAAAGCACATTCCTTAGGCAGATCTCCTT